GATTTGTTACACCACCACCACCACCATGCCGAGGAGCGAAAACTGGGCGACGACAACGCGTACGGGGCGGGGTGGCTATTTCCGTCGCCGTTTTGGAGTAGGCGTGCATAACTTATCGGAAATGTTTGTGTCGACAAGCCGCGTTATATGTGCGTTTTGCTTTTCGAGCCAGTTGCATATGTGTGAGGAGGGCGGCGATACGACGGCCGCTCGTCCAGACACGGATGATCTCCGCGTGAAATCTCTTCAGGCGCGGCACTTTGAAATATGGGTCGAAGCAAAGAATAATAATAAAATATCGACATCCCTCTTGAGGAAATGACAATCTCTTCCTAATCCAAAATAACAGCCGGCAGATCTGCGTTGCGTGTTGCGTCTCCCGCGCTACGCCTCTCCTCTGCCAAAATAGCCGCATTTATGTAACCAATCGGCGACGGATCGCGAATGACGAGGGCAATAAAAGGCGCCTCTGCGGGTCACTCTGGGGGTGATTCCATGCGGGGAAGTCGGACGATGTATCAGTGACCAGCAGTGGTGGGCAGCGGGTCAGCAGCAGCAGCAGCGCGAGGGAGAGGGAGAGAGCTACAGCTAGCGAGAGCTAGAGCTAGCGTGAGAGAGAGAGAGAGAGAGAGAGAGAGAGAGAGAGACGGTGGTAGGCGCTGGAAGGGAAGGCCACCGCGCCGCCGAGGTCCCCAGGGCCCGGGTGTAATGAGGCTATAAAATAACACATCCAGCAGCAGCAGCAGCAGCTATACCCCCTTGGCCACAATCATCACTACGACGAGCCACATCGCGCGCGACAGTTGTTGTCCTCTCTCTACGAGTGGCTGTGTGTGTATGTGTGTGTGTGTGTGAGTTTGTATATTCCCTTTTGTTTTTGCCGGGCCGCCCCGCTCTTTCCTCTTTGTTCAACGAGGCGCGTGGTGGTCCGTATAATGGCGTTGAGGCCCAGCAGTACGGGACGGGCGGCGGCGCCGGCCGGCAGGCCATCAGGCTCCACCTGCTAATAAAGCTCCAGGAGGGCGAATAATGTCAAACGCGTGACTTATTCACACTCTTGTCGCATCTGCCGCCATCATTACCACCACCACCGTCATCATCATCATCATCATCACCATCGTCGTCGTCCTACACCTTTTGAGAGCGCCGCGCTGCTGCCCACCCCGCCCCGCCCCGCCAGCCCCCGCGGTCACCCTACACCCTCCGCCGTCACTCGGCCTCCGCGAGCGCGCGCGAGAGAGAGAGCCATCCGACGCGGCAATTTTTCATACTAGTGTTTCGGGCGCGCGGAGGCCCGTCGAGGCCGTCGCCGCGCGTCGCCGAGGCAGTTGGTACTTGCTGAGAAAGCTGACTTGACTCTCCCCCAGGGACGACCCTCCCCCGCCACACACCACCCTCCCTCCGGGCTACACCCCCCTCCTCCCCTTTCCCCTCAGACGCTTTGCGCCGCGATTCGCGTGTAATGTCGCCCCGCTACGCTACGCCACGCCCCGCCACCCGTAAAGCAGCGCGTGGCGTTGCAAGCGCACAGGCCACACCCGCAATTATGTTTTCGAATTAACTCCGTAATGTAGGAGGGTTTTGTCATTTACCCGGGCGACCTCTCTCTCTCCCTCCCCCCTTCATCTCCCGCTCCTCTCCCTCCGCCCCCTTCCCGACCCCTTCACACTCCCTGCAGCTTACTCCCGCCACCACTTCACCTTCGTCTCTTCAAGACTCACCTTTTTTTGTGCACGGAAAAAATAGATTAGCTGTAATACCTAGGCAAGTAAGTAGACCCATACCTAGATAAGTAAATGTGTATTTTAAGCTGTATATGTATATAAAAATTTAGCCATTTAGCTCTGTCGCAAAATAAGTCACAGAAATTTAGGGAAGTAGCTAAAAATTTTGCAAGCTAAACATAGCCTAGAATTTACCTTTTTTATGGCTATTTTTTTACTCATTTTTTTCACATGGCACCAAAATTAGCTATGCTTATCTAGCTTGCTAAAAAATCAATAAATAGTCCTGTCTAGCAATTTAGCTAAAAATTAATAAATATCTCAAAATTTAGATGTCTAGCTACTTAGCTATTTTTTTATTATTTTTTAGCTATGGTTAGCTACAGCCTTTCTTGTGCCCGGCCCGGCGGCGCGTCGATAGGCGCGTCCACAGGTTGCCCGGGCACGTGGCGCACCCCGTCCAGCCGTCCTCGGTGTCACGTGTCGCGTCCGTCACGGAAAATTGGCCATTAGTCTGGCCGCTCCGGAGCGCGTCGCGCGGCACACGCGGCGTGACGTGACTTGACGCCGAGCTTTGCCTTTTTCATTTATTTTTTTTTTCGGTCGATATGGTCGTCCCTTCTCCTAAATACCAATTTCATACAGTGTCGCTTGAACTCGCTGTTGTCGCTGCTGCTTATTTCCCCGACGAGAGAGAGAGAAATTCCTTTTTTTCCCACCATTTTGAAGAGGTTATAGGAACTGGAGCAGCGAGTCGTAGTCTTCGATAGATGCAATGATGATGCTCTGCTTCCGCCTTCCTCGTCCTCGTCCGCCACTACCGCCGCCGATCGGCGCGCTAAAAATGGCGCCGCGCCCGCGCGAACCGCAGCCATAAAAATAATCGTAGCCATTGGCGGTCCCCCACGGGGGCCCCCAGAAGGGGAGGGGAGCGGGAAGTGAGTGGGGCCTCCGGGGCCGCCGCGCCGAGATTCGCCGATAGGGTTGTCGATATTTGGCGCGCGGGCGAAGTCCATCGGGTGGGCCGGGGGCCGTGGTCGTGGGGCGGGGGGAGTGGGAGGGTGGCGTCATAGCACAGCTGCGCCCGGGGCCGCGTGCGAGAGCAAGCGCCCGGCCTCCCCGCCCTCCTCCTGCTGCTGGAGGTGGCCGTCCTGCGTCCCCGCGGACGCAGCCCCGCACGCGTGCTGGCGCGCTGGTGAGTGTCCGCACGAATAATGTATAAGGTGCTTTGCGCTGATACTTGCCGGCCAATGCCGGAGCTGGAGGGCCGCCCATCCCGTCCCGTCCCGCCCTACTACTCCACGTCGCCGTCGCTGCTGCCCGAGCTGCTCGAGCTGCTGGGCTGACACGACACGACGTCCTCTCCTCCTGTCTAATTGGCTGAGGGTTCCGGCGGCGGCGACCCTCTCTCTTGCTGCGGTGAGACTGTCCGGGCCCTGGGCCCGGGCCGGCGCGGTGCTTTTGAGCGTCGCTGAGGCGCATCGGGGCGGCAAGGAGGGCCGACCTGACCGGGCCGCCAAACGCACTTGACACGCGCTGGCGGTGTTGTGTGTGAGTGCTCTTTTCGTTTTGGTGTTTTTTTGTCGTTGCGTTTTGGCAGTTTTGGTGTGACAAGTGCCAAGGGCGGCGAGGGCGGCGGCGAGGGCGGCGGCGAGGGCGGCGGCGACGGCGGCATCGACACCTTGCAGCAGGAGGAGGAGGAGAGAGAAGATGTTGTCGGGGTCCTTGAGCAGCAGGCCGACCCCACCGCAAGCTAATGAGGCCACACCACGGACCACGGCGGCCTCCCGTACCCGCCCTGCGACACTCGTGGGACACGCCTTCAGGCCTGGGGGCGGCGGCGGCACGGGGTCAGCGCCAACGGTACGGCGGGCTCAAAGGGCGAGGTGGTGCGTGCCACCTGCTGAAAACATGTCGTTCTAAACCTTATTTAGTAGCATGTGTCAATTATTTCGGTTTTTAAGACGTTTCCACGAGCACAAAATGGTCGCGCTCGGTTATTTGGGAGTGCTCCCACGAACACGCTTCGGCAAGGAGCGCAAAGATTGCTCGCCCGTAACAAATTGACAGCGTTATATACGCCCTTGGCCACGTGTCGTCACTTTCCGACCTTTTATGCCGAAATCTCATCCCAGAACTGGCTCACTTTTTGACGTCGCGTCGATACGACGACGTGGGGGACGCTGGCGCACTAATGACGGCGTGGCCCCGTGCCGGTGTGGTTCGGCGGCAGCAGCGGCGTGCGGCAGGGGGTTCCTGACACTCCATTAACGCCTCGGGGTCCCACATAAAACAGCCGCTTGTTCTGCTCCTCGCCGGGCCGGATGTGTGCCGCACGGCGCGGCTGCGGGAGAGTTCGAGCGGTTCGAGCGTGGCCGGGCGGAGCGGGACGGAACAGCACGGAAAAGAAGAGGGGTGCTAGGGCGATTGGAGAGGAACTGTACTCCGCGGGTGGGAGAGCGGAGCGGGGGCGGAGCAGCACCAGCGACCACGTGTCAGGTCCCGGCGTGGTCCCTATGGGCCTGTCTCTCCGACCGATCAGAGTTCTCGGCCTCGAGTCGAACCCGATCGTCACCCGAAAGGGTAGTATGATTGCTCTCCTCGCTCTCTGTAACCCTCAATGACCCTTCATATTCCCCATTGAACCGAGTTCAAAGTTTTGGTCAACCTCGTTACAGCTAACCACGCACGTGAGCGCCGTTCATTTGGTCCAAAAGAATGCTCCTCTCAAATGCGTCCAAATGCTATAAATGTGCGCGGTAGATTAACGTCTTGCACAAAAACTACACACATTACAAAAAAAAACAAAAACAACTAAAATGTAGTGTCACTCCACTTCTCCACCCCCACCCCCCTCTCTCTCTCCCCTATCCTCACATCCTTTACCTCTCCGACCGGAAAGCCTCTCCTAATTGGCCGCATGCCCCGCGCGCCTCTGCCTGTGTCGCAGCGGCAGGTCCTCTCCCCGCCCC